ATGTCACACACTCAATAGGCATCATAATCTTATACTAAAACTTCTGCAGGAATTTCTGAGGGATAGAAGCAAAGTACAACAGCTGGTTCAACTATTCGATCCAGTTGTTCGAGCCGTTGACGGAACAGCTGGAGAGGCAGTATCGATGCGAGTGAGATTATCTTCTAATTTTCTTTAATTTATTTAGTTTTATTTGTTGATTTTTGTGACTACCTCATCTAAAAGCTTAGGCTATAAGAGAATGTACACTTGTGTTTATTTCACTATATATTTGATACGATTTGAGATTATCTCCGCTGAGAAAGCCTAACATTCTGAAATCTTACTTGCAAACAGTGAGCTCAAAAAATTGTTTTGTCTTTTGTGAAACAGGTAGATTTAGAATGCTCAGATGGACACAACAGAATTGGCATATTTAGTCATAAAAGACTTTCTAGGTAAGTTGGTTAACTTTTTCAGCTCCAGTCAATGTAAAATCTCTTAATTTCTCTTCATTTGTTGATTCTAAGTTTTTTGTCAAGTTACACATTTGGTGAATGTTAGTTCCCTTATCACTTTCTTGGGAAAATCTAAGCAAAAAGTTAATGCAAGTCTCTTCACATAAGGTCGTAAGCTATTTGTTTGTTTTTCAGATCAGTGGGAATTTCAACAGCTGCATTTGTCCTTGCTATGCTTGAGGGAAGCACAAAACCTGGTGTCTGGTTTCCTGAAGAGGTATGTAGTGACGAACCAACGGCCAACATACCTGTGGATTATTATTACTGTCAACTTCACAATGAAGATAAATGACATGTGGCCTAACTTAACCTAAAAAGCTAGGCCATATAATAAGACAACCCCCTGTACCTTCAAACAATGTGAGACACATAACATCCCTTACGCCCCAGGACTGGTCATCGGTTGTGTGGACAATATAACATGGGGACCCAATATATACATTGAGAAAAATGGACTTGGGGCTAACCTAATCTCGAATATGTTCAAGAGGCTATGTTGTCCAGACTCTTCAAAAATGTCGAGGGGTGTGTGTCGGATTCGCCAAAAGTAGTGTACTTCAGGAGAATCTGACACGGGTATGACATTAAAAGTGAAGAGTCCGCGCAACTTAGTCACGAGGTGAAGATTACTCAAGAATACGGATGTATCCAAAACAAAAAATATGAGTTCAAAATATGTATAAATATTAAATTTTAATTCTAGTTATTAGCGCTTGAGAGGGAATCTTAGTAGCTCAAATAGTTGGTTACCTAAATTTTCACCTTCCTCGTCTTGTAATCTCCTCCCCATTTCCCTTCCGCTACCCCCTATTTGTTTTTTAAAAGAGAAGTGCTTGACTCTTAAAGTCATGTTCGGTAGCAATATCAAACCAAATACGACGAGTAGTGGGGTCCTGAGGTGTCCTAGAATCTCGATCCCATAGAATCTAAATGTTGATTTGCCTCTGTCCAAAACCAAGTAAGGAGACAATAACACATACCTTCAACCTTATGTGGTACACCTAACCCAAAAAAACAACTTTTCTTCTTACGTTTTTTTGGGGAAAATGATACAAAATGTCCGTTGAATCAAAATTTCTGACCTAAAATATCCTAATTATCATTTTATTACTATAAATGGCCATTCAGCCTTTATTCTTTCTAGTGAAGTGCATATGTTGTCTTCTTTAGAACTTTGTCAATTTTTCTTTCTTTCTTCCTTGTGTTTCCTCTTTGCCGAAGGCTATTCGAACAGCTATGTTTCTCACCTATTACTACAAATTGACACAAATAAATATGCACTTGACTAAAGAAATAATTTAATTTGACCTGCCGTAAACACAAATAATTTCGAGTGAATAATATATCAAAAGACTCGAAACATTGAGGGTATATCATATCTAAAATTTGGGACTATTTTAGAGGAGATTGGGATTGGTCAGGATTGAAAAAAATCAGTCTGCAATATATAATATTGTATAAACATTGTATATGACATCTGTGATACATAGTTATACATCATCTATACACTATCTTAGAATATCGATTCATTACATATACATACAACCAGTTTCATTGAAATATTTTTTGTTGTCTGTTCAGTTATGTAAGAATCCCTTTTTTTATTTAAACATTTTTTTGGGCTTCCCTTGCAGCCCGAAGGAATTGCTGTTGAAGCAAGGGAAGTTCTTCTCCAAAGAGCTTCCGAGGGAACGATAAACTTCATACTAAACAAGTATGTATTTGTTATCATTTTCTCCTCCAATATGTTACTTAACTTTATAAACTTCAACTAAATACGTCTTTCTTCTTCATAGGGCTCCATGGATGGTAGAAACAAATCCAAAAGAGCTCGGTTTTGGGATATATTCATAAATTCAATATAGAGATTTGACTGATCAAGTGAGTGTGCCTAGGTTTTATGATTCATAATATGCACCTTTTGCATCTCTTAAGTATAAACCGCTCAGTATTTATTAGTTAGATATCTTTCAAGTGACTTGATTGTGTAAACGTATTTTACAATGTTCGTTCATAGAACTTAAGCTCGTTTCCTTTTTCCTTTTCAGGCGTCGAGCGTGGAGCCAAAATGCACCCTCACCTTCTCTATATATTGGTGCAGTCTTCAAGATTTGAATGCCTACAGCTTGTTAGTTGTCTAAGTTTTATGATACTTTGTCATTCCATTTGAATAGACTTATAAGTAAAGATGTTGTCAAGTTTGTCAATAGCAGAGTGAGTTAAGGATATTTGGTCTGAAATATTTACAACAATATATATATATACACTTTTCTGAACAATAAACTTTAATGATACCAATACACTTTAATGATACCAATACAGTATGTTAAGCGGAAATTATCCGCCTTAATGATATCAAATACAATATACGATACTGATTTAGTATCAATTAAGCGAAAATTATCAGTCTTTAATGAATAGAGGTATGAGCTGTAATTTTTTATGAGAGAATGGGTATTTCAGAAATTACTTTGAGTTTCGGTACGAACTTGTAATTATTTGAAATTTTCTAGTTTATATTAAGTGAGAAATGATATATTCCTCGAAAAAAACATTTAAGGACGCTTTTCTATTACTCTTTCGCCTGAAATTAGGTATGAAAAAACACAATTGCATGCTTCGATTACAAGAATGAGAAAATAAGTTGATGAATGATAAACATTAAACTAACAAATATATATTTTCCCTAAGATTCAAATAATAAAAAGAAAAATTCTTGTAGAAATTACAAATATTAAGAACATTCCAACAAAAATTAAAAGATTTAGCAATATCACAAATATCAAATGTCCTTCATTTTGATTAATTTTATTTACTACATTTCAAATAGTAATCTTTCTTCTTTGATATATTGACTTCTCAATTGGTGATCTTTAATGAAATAATCAAACATTAATTTATGTGAAAAAAAATCTAAAATGTTTAATTTATTTATTTATGACTCATTCTATTTTGGTGTTTCTAGGAACTTCATGATGTGAATGATTTTACAAAATCAACGATCATGTTTATGACAATATCTGAAATGTGTGACACGATAAATAGAGGCATGAAAATTCAGATCAATACACTTAGAAATATTTGAACATACTTATTTGGAAGAATTTGAAAATTTTTCTCTCATCTCACTACTTTTATTGCTTTCATTTTTACTATTTGTGTCATATTTTTATTTTTATTTTACAATACGCTGTGGTACTAAATTTTTATTTTTGTAAGTATTTTTCAAAGTTGAGTTTCATATATTATTAGTTAAAGTGGTGTAACAAAGTGAAAAGGTGAGGTACAAATGCATTTTGTCCTATTAATATTGCCACTTCATGACCCTAATTTATTCTTAAGGAAATTTTATATTGATGAGGTATTTAATTACATTATTGACTCATATTGTGCCTATAAAAATTAATTTAAGTCGTAATACGTCACAATGATGATATAAAAATAATAATTAAGGTAAAATAATAATACTTTTGACGAAATCATATCGCTCTATTAATATTGAATAATAGAGAAATAAATCTTCCAATAAAATAAAGAAATAAAAAGTGATAGTGAACTTGACCTTTCAAAGTGATATTGAAATGTGTTATACAAATATGATAAATATCGAAAAATGACAATATGATTCTACTAAAATTTATGACGCATATATATGCGATCACAGTCTATTCCTTAAATAGAATGAGATTCATGAGGCATAGTAAATGCTCATTCATTCTTGAAAATGAATATGTTAATTTGCCATAAAAGTACTTAATAAAGAGCGTATTTATTTATGTTTAGATAAATGTTACAATTCACCTTTATGCGTGATTTGAGATTAAAAAATTATTTTGACATAAATGACAATTGATCGGGTAATTTTTAATATGTATAAATATTGTGGTATATTTTATTAGTAACAAATGATAGGGCAAAAGAAAGAAATAATTCTCATCTACAAAAATTGTAGTCACAACTACAATGAATATTATTGTGCAATCGTGAAAACATGTCATTAATTGTGTATTTATGGTACAACAAGAAGCAATTGTTGCATATAATGATTTTGACTCTGAAAATCATAATAATTTTCTCCTAGAAAGAAATGCATGTCACCGTTCAAACATTGTTATGAAATACGTAATAGTACACAATTTCAATTGAAAGCTCCTAAGGAGCTAATGTGTTATTACACCGATTAATGAAATTGTTTCATTATATTGAGGTTTATAACAAGTCACAAAAAAATTATTAATCTTCAATAACAATAGTCAAAAATGAATTATATTTGAAGAGATTTAATATCTTCATATTACAACGATTGAAGTGTATGTAAGTGTCATCTGTATCTCATACAACAGTGAATAAACAATTCTATTTATAGATTGAAATCACTCCAAAAATCATAATTATCATAATAAATAAATTTTTATCCAAAAAGGTTCATGAAACTAAGGATCTTCATGTACCAATTTTATGTTATAAATCCACTCATTGATTTATAACATATATTAAATTTTACATGATTTATGATTATATTCGACTCTTTTGTGTCATATTTAAACATTGGAACATCACTTTCTCCCTCTCAATCCATCACTGCTCCATTGGATAGCGTCACTCAGGTAAATATTTTTCTTCTCTTATCTCCTCTTTCTTCCCACACCCCAAAATAGTGACGATTGTTTTTCGCTTTCTCTTCTTTTTGTTTGGTGTTCATCGTGAGCTTTAAGTTATGAATGTGATAATTTAAGTTCGGATCAATGGTGGGGTGTGTACTGTGATTTTCAAAGTGAGTAGCAAACTATAATTCCCGCTACTTCACAGATTTTGGGAAGCTAATTCGTAGAGGTTGAGTGCTAAAACTTGCAAAGAAAAACTATGCACTCTATATGTTCGATTAATTGCCCGAACGATTATTTTTTTAACGACCGAGAGGTGTTCGGGTTAACTTTCGCGCATCTCCACTATTCACGTGATACTTGTTGCTTCCAAATGCACACGCAGGTGTACACGGTCGTGCAAGTAAGATAGTGGCTTTGAAAAGGCCGAATTATCGAACCTAAACGACTTGTCTATTAACTATCTATCATTCGGCACAAGAGTTTGATTAATATTGGAATACTAAGAATGCAAGAATGAAAGAAGTATACTAACTAAAAATGATTCAACTTCAAGATAATGCTCATAATAATTGGGAAAATTCCAGGGTTGCAGCATAACTAAGAATTCATGCCTCATATATCTTGCATGGATTTCAGATGGTTATCAAATTACTGATTTACGAGGCTAATTTTATGAGTATGATCTTCCGATCACTAATCACCTACTACATCGTTGAGAGGAGATTGATTCAATCAACTCGTGAGCATTAAAGCTATCTTCTTGTTTCGTAACCAAACACGACACTTAGGTATATATCTATACTAAACACAAATCAATTCAAGTGAGTATTTCATGTTTTATCTCTCTATTCCTCTCTCGAGTTCAAAAGTAGACAACATATTTATTTTAGTGAAAATCAAGCATCAAAATACTAATTCAAGAACACAAGAACAATTTATACGATAACCAACTTCATCCATAAATTAATGTTCAATAATCATTCATAGTCGCAACCCCAAATAATTATTTTTTATGCAAAGTAATGTCTAAGAAAAGAAGAAAAAAGAAGAAATGATCCCTAAGGGTGAATTCTATCTCGTGCCTCTTTCACTTGAAAAGTATGATGGTTCCTCCAAAAGAGGCACAATGTTCTATTTATAGGGTTAGGGAAAATAATCCATTTTCCTTCTTGGATTTGGAATCCTAAAATTGGAATTTTTCGTTGAGGCTTTCGTGGGGCGGCACATCACCATAGCGCCAAACCTGGGGCTTCAATAGTTTGGGGTCTAGCGCGGCGCACCACCAGTGCGCCAGGCTTGGGGCACCAGTAGTTTAGGGCCTGAGGCGACACGCCACCAGTGTGCCACAACCCAGATTTCTGTTGATTGTTCTCTTTCGTGTACTCTTATCTGTTTCCAAGCTTTTGTCCCTTGCTTGTGTGAACTCCTATTTACTTGATTCTTGCATCAATTTCCTGCAATATCTAATCACATATTTTAGTGCACAATTACCACAATACTCATCAAACCACAACCAATAGACGCCCAAGATTAATACCTTTCACCTGCATCAGGTTGCATCAGGTAACTCTATCCACTAAGGTTAGGATAGATGGAAAGAATCACCTAGTATTTTTGTCTCCGCTAAGTTTTGAACCTGAGACCTCATTTTCTCAAGTATGGTAACAACCCATCTAATGAAAATGTCGCAGTCGCCTCAACCCACCTTGTGATTAATTGTGCTAAACTGGTATATATGTGATTGTAGTCGCTTCAATACATGTTGTAATGGTGAGGCGCACACATTTTTCTCAAATATTATTTTTATATGATAAATGATATAATGAAAAATATTTTTAATCTAGTTCTATTCATTAAAATTCTACACATTCTTTAGTTAAGAAGAGACTATTGCAAATATATAATTTTGATTCTTCTCAATTATTTTCTTGAGATTTCTGCAGTAAATATCTCTAAAAATTTATGTTTTCAAAATTTAAGAATTTGACAAAGAAAAGGCAACAAATCATATCAACCATTCTGAGATAAGATATTGTCATTTGTCTTGGGAGCATGTAGATAATCATACTCATCGGTTTTCATTCATTTGTAAACATGGAGGAAATAACCAATATCTAGTATGAAATTTAATAGAAACACAAATAGGGCATATTTATCCCTAAAAGAGTAAAATTATTACATTTGAATTCACTTTAACTACGTACAAGCTTGCAATAAACGAAAAAAGTAATAATATTTTTCTAATGATAGCGTATTCGTCAAGTTTGATTTGATAAATACATCACAAAATAAGGTCATATGCCATCCTATCCAATTTCCTAACAAAATGAAAATTATGCACTAAAATCAATCATTGTGGTTAAAACACTTAATCATATATTATTATAAGCATGAAGGTCAAAACTTAAAAGTTGAATTACCATTTTAGCCTTATACTAAATTAAAATATTATAAAATAATTAATTAATTAAATATTAAATATGCTTAAATTGTTAATTAAGTTGATTCACTTATTGTTAAAATAATGTAGGAGAATGAATAGTTGTAAAAATAATTAATTATAAAGTTATTACGAAAACGTATTAGAGAAACTTTTCATTTCTCTATCTGATCAGTTTTAGGTGTAATTTTGTCATAATGTGTATTAATACCACACCTCCACTATCTCATCATTAATATTCACACCTTCATAATCTTTCCACACTCTCAAGAAGTTGATGGCACTTCTTGGATTACTTAATTTGTAATGTTTTTATCTTCTATTAGCAGATTCTCCATTTTCCTATATTATATATTATACTTTCTCATGTAATCATGTTATCTTTATTTTTTTTTTATATGAGTTTGTTATGCTCAATGTTTTATTTATCTTTATTTGAACTCATCTAAATTGTTGAATATTTCAACTACTAATAAATTTTTTAAATTTGACTTTTTTTTATGAAGATACAATTAAGAAATGACGCTAATATTTCATAGTGATGATGCAGTAAGTGAAGCAACACAGATTGAACTGTTTCAAGTGGTATCAATTTTCAGGTAATAAATCATTGTTCCTTATATGCAATTAATTATTTTTGTGTAAGTTGATATGTTCTTAATAAAATTTTGGTTTGATTTTTAAATAAAAATTTATTTTATAGAAGTTGAGACGGTACACTTAATTGGATTATCCAAAAAAGGAATCTTTTACACAAGGACAAGAAGAAAGACTTCTAGCTTTATCACTGCATTCATGACAATCAATGGAATATCCTACAAGACAAAAAGTTGATGTGATTCTGTACAAGTGAATCCAACTCACTAACAAAAAAATTAAAGAAAGAAAAAAATGAACATGAAGAGAATAAAAATGAAGATAAAGAGAATCAATGGTGTCTTATAAGTTGATGAACCGCTGTAACTTCATTATTTTTTGAATTTACGAGGAAATGAATTATTGAAGAAATTTGTGAAATGTACATATATACCTTTGAGTCGGTAATAAATGTGATTGAAAGTAGTATTTTTTCATGCATAATAGCTAATTCTTGATATATATATTGTTTAAGTTTATTATTTGCACTACAAACATTGTATGAAATATTTTAGGATAAACGTGCAACGCACGTTTTCGGAAACTAGTAATTTAAAAAATATAAGAGAAAAAATCTCTATTGAAAGAGTTCCAAATGAAGGATATAAGTGGTATAATGAAGAATTGAGAAAAAAGTGAAGACAGATAGGGGCGGAGCTAAGCGGATCTTTGTGGGTTCAAACGAATCCAGTAGCTTTTCCTTACCTTGTATTTGTAATATATATAATAAAAATTGGTTGATGGCTGTGGTAATGTTTTCCACACTAGTGTTGTTGGTAACAACTACAATTTCTCCTCCAAAACGCTATAATGCAAATGTGTCAGCTACTAAATCAATTACAAAGAAGCATATGCATATTTAGTTTTGCTTCCCATGCACTCTTGCTAGCTTCCGCAGCCACCAGTTTGTCGAGCTCCTCATCTACGCATGCTTTATGCTTCTCACTCTCCTAAACACTGAATCCTTATTCACTTCCCTTTTTTAAAAAAAATCTAATACTTAATTAAGTGGTTATGCATAATTACTGTGTTGTGTTCACTTCATCATTGGCTCTATCGTTGCTGTACTGCCAAACAGGGGGAAGTTGTTCTGTTTTTTCAAAGCCTTTTTGGTGGTCATGGCCTCTTTAATGTATTGTGTTCGCTTTTTCATTGGTCTGAATTCTAAAACATGTCAATAGTTTATATGCTGAGTACCTGATTGGACTTTGGTGGTAACTTATTGTGCACTGAAGTTTTCTTCCAGAATTTCCATAAGTTAGCCAACCAAACGTTTCCTTTAATAGTCCATAAATTTATTAATTTAACCGTAACATGCCTGATATTGAGGTATAGTAGTTGTTGAATGAAAAACTATGAGTCTCCTGTGTCCGGTGGTTGGGGGGGAGAAGAAACTCATATAACATATATGTAAATAATATAAGAGAAGAGTCTTGGTTTCAAATGCATCACTAAAGTAACTTGAATACATCTTTCTTGCACATGTCTTTGTATTATAAGTTTAAACAGTACATTTTTTAAGCATGCCTGTTCTTATATTTTCAGATCTGGCATTTCTTTTGTCCAGTCAACATACCCTTTCAAGTGCTTGGAGTTGTATTACTCTACAAACTAACTACACTGGGACTTGACTATGTTTTTGACAAGCAATGTCCACTGTGCTCCTCTGCATGTGTCTTCTCTATCCCAATTGAACTCCCAAAGTGTCTTTTCTGTGAAGTACGCTGTAAAGTTGTTGAAAAAGTTAGCTGATGACGGGAACTTCAAATTGGGAAAAGTTGTCCATGCGCTTCTTATTGTATCTAATCATGCCTCAGAAAACCACGTAATTCAGAATAATTGTCTCATTAATCTCTACTCAAGGTGTGGACAACTTTCTATTGCTCGGCACATATTCAACAGATTGCGGCAACGAAATATAGTTTCTTGGAGCACTTTAATGACAGGATATTTGCACAATGGGTTTACTTGGGAAGTACCCAAATTGTTGAAAGACATGGTTTCAGTGGATAATTTATTTCCAAATGAGTATGTCTTGTCTACTGTACTTTCTTCTTGTTCTAATGGTGGTTTGCTACACGAAGGGCGGCAGTGTCATGCATTAGTATTGAAATCAGGATTAGTGTTTCATCAGTATGTGAAGAATGCTCTTCTATCCTTGTATACAATGTTTTCAGATGTGGAAGGGGTTCTGGAAATCTTGAAGTCTGTTCCTGGATCAAACAACATTACTGATAATGTTGTACTAAAGGGCTTCTTGGATCACGGGTATACAAATGAAGCATTGGATGTCTTCTCAAGGATGTTGTCTGAGGGCTCGGTGAGGGACAAAATCAGCTATGTGAATATATTTGGTCTTTGTGCTCGTCTCAAGGATTTGAAATTGGGTAAGCAAGTTCATTGCAGAATGTTGAAGTCAGGTCTTCAGCTTGATGTGTTTTTAAGCAGTGCAGTCATGGACATGTATGGAAAGTGTGGTGAAATTTTAGGTGCAAGATGTATCTTTTATTCTTATCCTGACCATAATGTGGTGTCCTGGACAACAATCTTGGCTGCAAATTTCCAAAATGAGTGCTTCGAGGAAGCCCTGAAAATGTTCTTACAAATGGAACTTCAGGATGTTGTGCCAAATGAATACACATTTGCAGTATTGTTGCATTCCTGTGCGGGTCTATCAGCACTTGGGTGTGGGAAAACATTACATGCACGTGTTGAGAAGACGGGAAATGGAACTTTTGTCGTTGTGGGGAATGCTCTAATCAATATGTATGTTAGGAGTGGCCATATTGAAGCCGCTAGGGCCTTATTTTCAAACATGATATGTCGAGATACTGTTACTTGGAATTTGATAATATCAGGTTTCTCTCATCATGGGCTTGGTGAGGACGCATTGTATATGTTTCAGGACATGTTAGCTGCCAAAGAGCAACCAAACTATGTAACCTTTATCGGGGTTTTATTGGCTTGTGGGCATTTGGGTAGGATAGAAGAAGGTTTGTACTACTTACAGCATCTAATGAGGGACTTTGGCCTTGAACCTGGGTTGGAGCACTATACCTGTGTTGTAGGGCTCCTTGGCAAAGCTGGTAAACTTGATGAGGCTGAGAAGTTCATGAGGTCGACACCAATCACATGGGATGTTATTGCTTGGCGTACTTTGCTAAATGCTTGTAACGTCCACCGCAATTATGGTTTAGGACAGAAAGTGGCAGACCATTTGTTACGATTGAACCCCAACGACGTGGGAACCTATATATTGTTGTCCAATATGCATGCCAAGGTGAAAAGGTGGGATGGTGTAGCAAAGATGCGGAAGTTATTAAGAGAAAGGAACATAAAGAAAGAACCGGGATTGAGCTGGACTGAAATACGAAATGAAACTCATATGTTTGTTTCTGATGACACACAACACCCGGAGACAGCTCAAATCCATGAGAAGGTGAGAAAGTTGTTGGCTGAAATAAAACCATTAGGTTATGTTCCAGACACGAATTCTGTCTTGCATGATGTTGAACAAGAACAACAAGAGGGTTATCTTAGTTACCACAGCGAAAAGCTGGCTGTCGCATATGCTCTCATGAAAACACCATCCCAAGCACCAATTCATATTATTAAGAATCTCAGGATATGCGATGATTGCCATTCTGCTTTGAAGCTTATCTCAAAGGTCACAATGAGAATGATAGTTGTAAGAGATGTCAATCGATTCCACAGTTTTCAAAATGGGTCCTGTTCGTGTGCAGATTATTGGTGATACATCACATGATTGACAAATAGTTTCTTCCAAGGTGTCGAAGGATATTTTTTCCTGCTGCTACCTAAGATTGGTAAACAAACTCACACAATCATATCTCAGCCAACCAGAAGTAGTGAGCTTTAAAATAAAGCTTTCTTGACCATCAATCATGTAAGTTTTCTGAAATAGTCATTCATCATATAATAAGTTTGTTTCTAGCTTCCAAAATACTGACCCATTTTTTCCACAATTGAGAAATCCTCAAGGGCCAATGAGCCATGGTTCAAAACCTGGTGGAGTATCTACTTCAGTTTTTTGTCCGTTAGTATCTAATTCTTCAATGTGTGTGATCCTTTAATCCCTCAAGTTCTAATCTTTTGAATATCTCATAATGTCCAGAAATCTGCCAGAGGTGAGTACCAACTGTCGGTGCTCGATTTGGAACAGATCCAAGATCTGGCATAACAAGATGCCCTTTAAGATCTCATTTGATGTCTCGAGACTTCTCAAGGATAAGCTGGCCACTGATGTTAATCTCTCCAGGTTTAAGATCCACGGACCTTCCAGATGTTGTTGTTGTAACAATGGTTCTATTGAAACAAATAATCATCTTATTAATGAGGGAGAACTGGCCAAGAGAGTGTGGAAATACTTCTATGATGTGTGGAATTCCTCGTAAAAATTCCCTAAATATTAGAGCTAAATTCATGGCATGGTGGCTCATCAAGCCTCAAAACCAAGTACGTGAAATCATTCTTCAATATCTTCCTAGTTTTATTTCTTGGGAAATCTGGAAATTCAGATGCTCTTATCAATATGATGGCATCAGGTCGACTACTAACAGAGTGATTGATGAAATCACCATGCTGATACAGAGGACTCTTGCAGCTCAATTTACCACCATAAACTTCTCCCCTCCTTTTTCAAATATATTCCATGTTGTGGAAAGAATCAGGCCTCAACTATCTATCATTCCAGCGAGTTGGAAATGTCCTGATATCGGGAAATATAAACTTAATATTGATGGTTAGTGCTGGAGCAGGAGGAATTTTGAGAGATCACAATGGACATATGGTCATGGCTTTCACATCTTACCTTGGGGAATGCTCTAACAACTATGCAGGGATTCAAGCCATAAAATGGTGCTTGGATAACGGTTTCAGAAATCTGATTATCTGCTTACTATTCATATGATCAACAGCAACATATCCACCTCCTGGCTTTTCAAAGATGAGATCAAGAAGATTCAAGCCATGAATGCAGAGGGTCTGATTCAATTTAATCTTCAGAGAAGGAATTCAACTGCCAATCTCCTGGCCAATCTTGCAGAGTTTAAAAAGTACAATTCTTTCTTCACAACAGCTATCAACTTGCCTATGTAGATTATATCCACTTTGAAGAATGAAAACAAAAAACAGGTCCAAATTTTCGAATAATAGTGAGGTAAAACACCTTCATCTTTGATCCTGGTTGATTTTCTCTTTTGGATACATTGTCTTATACTTGGTATATTTGTGAGCTCTTTCTCAGGAGTTTTATCTCCATCTTGTATATTGCTTAGGTCGAATTGTTTTTGAACTTGTTCGTATGCATAGGTTAGGCTCAAGTCCCCCTCTCGATCACCTTTTGACTTATCAATATACTCCCCTTGTGAGACTCATCCATTCTTATGGACTGGGGGATCATTGCTCTGAGAAATTTACTTCCTCAAGATGGTCTCTCAACTCGTTTATGGATGCTTAAATCCCATTTGGTGCGCAATCCTCTCTGTATAATAGAACTCCACCTATGTGACTTCACAAGCTTTAGCTGGTTCCATGTTCGATTCAACTCTCATAATAGAACAACATATCCAACGTAATTCCACAAAAGTGAGGTGTGGGGAGGCTGAGGTGTATGCACACACGCTAATGTATATAATGGGACCATAGATGTACACAATGTAACACTTGCCAACCATGAATGGATACTTTGATCCATGTCACGTTGTCTGTATTGGTACTAACTGAAACAACTAGCTACACTCTCATGTCTACATGAAGAAGTTTAGAATTTAGACTACCAACAAAATGGATGCATCAATTATAAGTCTTACACTGTTGTTGCTGGACCTTTGCTGGCACAAGCTAGTCAATCAATATTTTTATGAACATCTTTTACATCTTCGGTGCATAGAATTTAAACTCATTTTCTTTTCCCTTTTCAGGCGTAGCGTGGAGGCAATATATACACCCTTGCCTTGAAAATGAAAACTTTAACAGTATATTTTCCATTACAAGTGCAAAGAGAAGAATGAAATCGATTTCAATTGTCTGGTAAACCCACACAACAGATCAAATAATCGACTTTGGTGTATTACAACAGAAAACCCCACCCACAATCAAGAAAATGAAAAGAAAAAAAAAATTAAGAAGAAAAGAAACCTCACTCTTCACTCTCAAGATGTTTCAAATACAAGCAGACACTCTATACACAAACAAAATTACAAATATAGCTTAAATCTTAAATGCAGAAATTACACAAGCACAGAAAATGATAGATAAACGACTCAGCAAAATTAGTCATCCACAGCAGCCTTCTCAAACTGTCGTGTTGGTCACTCTGCTAGCACGAAAATTAGCAGGGTTTCCAGAGCCATGAACAGCTTCTGTATTGTTTGATAACTATACATCATGCAGACTGGCCTTGTTTTTTGCCTAAAATATCTGCATGCATGAGTTCATCATGATGCTAATCCCTCTTCAAGCTACCAAACGCGCTGTTGGGAATTTTATGCAACAATTTCTTTTTTGTTCACCCTGCTCGAATGACTAGTCAAGAAGTGCCCAAATATCGAAGGCCGAGGTGTCAGTATGTTGAATACTTCATCCACAAATTTCATGCCTGTTCTTTTTAAGTTCTGAAATCATGTATCCCATGTACTGAGGTGACAGCAAACACACACGTAACCAGAATGCTGAACACGAGGTGCATCGAATTGTATGAATCTCAAGTATTGTTACTTCATGAAAACTACCAGTTTGCTCTATTTCTATCTGATTCTCTGGACTGGGTACTCTTATATGCTCTCCAAACATCTTCCCATTGACCTCTACTTCCACTTCTCTCAAACGGATAATTGTTAAAATCCGTGTGCGTTCTAAATGTGCTGCTCTCATTGCCCCTGCTTTGATTATTCCTCATCTCTTCTTCAAGGTCATAACGAGAACGCTTCAAGAAAGAAGCAGTAACTCAGTAAAGATTCAAATTTCAGCAAACAAGAGATGGAAAATTTATACAAGAAAATGTTAAGCAATCAGGGCCATCTAATCAAAGAAGAAAAGAAGATAGAAAACCGAGCACATCCAGGATACCACATAAATTGAGAACCAAGATTAAACATGATTAAGTCTGATGTGCATCCGACAAGGGTTGCTCTACTGAGGATGGGTTGGGATGGCCAGAGAAGAAAAAGAATTATAATGTACATCCAATGGTGCTTGGACAGTAAGTCGGGAAAAGTTCTTTCCCAACATGTTCTGAAAAAACGATGTTTGAATAGTTATTTATAGAAGACAAACTGGTCATTTTGAAAAAAGAAAAGAAAATCTCTCAGGCAGTTCATTGTTATGATTTTATTTACTTTTTTGATCAAGTAAAAGGTTTCATTGATAGTAACAAGGCCAACTTGGCTATATACAAGTGATATACCAAAAAGAGGAGAAACCTACAAAACATGGTTCGCTCAGAAAGACACCCACTCTACACAAACAGGAACTATATGGGTGCTCAGCCATTGTTCAGGGAAATGTGAAGCGCAAAAAAGCGATAAGGCCCTGCTTCACGCTTTAAGGATGAAGCGCTCACATACTCATTCTAGTCTTTGAAGCGTAGAAGGCTCGCATCGCTTCACTTCCTCGCTTAAATTTCCTGAACACTGGGTGCTACAAAAGAAAATAAGGGATCAAAGGCTACTCAATTGAGCAAAGCTCATCTCCGCCCCTTCAAAAACTCTACTATTTTGCTCCTTCCAAATGACCCACATCAAGAGGAGTAACATTCCAAATCTTGTGTTTTCTTTGCCTAGCTCCACTCTTCCAGCAGAGCATCAGCTCCTTACTGTTCCTGGTATAACCCAAGAAACTTCAAACCATCTGAAGGTATCCTCCTATAATCTCGTAGCTAACTTGCAATATAAAATGATTCGGTTTACGTCCTCACCCATCTACTTACAAAAGAAACACCAGCTCATGCAAACAACCTTACTTTCCTAAGATTCTCCGCCGTCAAAATCGAATCCTCTAGTAGCCAACCATGTGAACAAGCACACCTTCCATGGCACCTTCAGTATCCAGACCAATACAAATGGAAAACTATCATCTTCCCTAACCAGAAGCTTCTCATAGAATGAATTAACGGAGAACACTTAGTTATTCCCCAAATCCTAACACAAAACAACGGGTTTGTCAACTGGCTTGTATTGCTTTTGAAGTAAAACCTAGCAATCTCTAAATCTTGGTCACCTCCCAATCTCATGAAGTCCTCTTAAACCTCAAATGTCATAAGGTCACATCCCCATGAGTTCGCCTAACTTGCTGAGCAGACAATTCTCTTTGACAGGAGACTCTATACAATGCCGAGAATTCATCCTTAAGCACCAAACCTTCACACAACTTACCCCTTCATGATATTCCTCCACACATCACACTCGAAAGGCATCGTGATCTCATTTGTTCTCCATCCCCCTTCCAGCTCTCCATATCTATCCGCTATCAGCCCTCTCCATAAAGCTTCTTCCTTCATCCCAAATCTGCACAGTGATTTACCCAAGAGTGCTTGGTTAAAGACTTTCAAGTCTGTAACCCCAAGTCCTCCCACTATTTAGGAGATGTCATGGTTTCCCAACAAGCTAAGTGAAACTTCTTTGCCCCGTCCGCCGCATCCCAATGAAAATTTCTTTGCAACCTTCCATCTTCCCTATCACATTTGTAGGAGTGTTGAACAGGGACTGCAACATGTAGGAATACTCGATAAAGTGCTCTTAATAAGCACTTCCTAGCCTCTTTTGGACAAGTATCTTTTTTTGCAATCTACTAACATTTTCTCTACCGTTCGAATAATCGGATCCCAAACATTGAGATCTTGTTCGATGCACCTTAAGGCAATCCAAGGTAGGTAGTAGGGAGAAGACCTACCCTGCATTGCAGAACTTGTGCAAGCATGTGAATGTTATTTATTACGCCAACAGGTATGATCTCGCATTTTCTGAGATTAATTTTAAGCCCCAACACCACTTGGAACTAAGTTAGACTTGCCCGAGGAAGTCCAACTAGGTGCCATCTACATCACAAAACACCAAATTATCATCTACAAAAAGTAGATGAGAACCACCATGTCACTTACACCACTAACCGCAGCCTTGAATCCATTCATATGTCTGCCTAAAATTGCTTTATCCATCATTCTTCTCAAAGCTTCCATCACCAAGATAAAAGGCATTGTTGAAAAAGGATCTTCTTGTCTCAAAACCCTCGAACCACTAAAGAACCCACACAGATCGCCTTTTACTAAAACCGAATCTCACCGAAGAGACGCAAAAACTGACCCACTTCCTCCTTTTCTCCCTAAAGCCCTTCTTCAAAATAATGAAATCTAGGAGCTTACAAATTACATGGTCATAAGCCTTCTCAAGATCTAACTTGCAGAAGACACTCTTACACCTTGTTTCTTCCTCGAATTTACCACTTCATTAGCCACCAAAGCTGCATCCGGAATTTTCCTTCCTTTGACAAAGGCATTTTATGAAGAAGAAACAATCTCGTATGGAACAATCTTAGGTCTATCGAAAAGCACCTTAGAAAGAATCTAGTAGATATTTCTCACTAGACTATTAGGCATATGTCCTCAATGCTAATAGCCATTCCTTCTTAAGAATAATGACAATGAATGAAGCATTTAGACTCCCTTCAAACTCACCTGTCTCCTAGAACTCATCAGTGGTACTCAAAACATCATGCTTGACCAGGCTCCAACAGGGTTGAAAGAAAGTCCAAGTGAAGCCATTCAACCCGAGAGCTTGGTCACCCACACAACACTCTACCGCTACACGTACTTACTCCTCAATAGCCTTCAATAACCACTCACTTTTCTCCCTCCGATCTGATTGAAATCCAACACCCCACACACACACAAAAAAAAAATGGCCTCCACTCCACTTCCTCTTTAAAAATCATTCATAGAACCGAGCAGTTGCTCCCTCTACTTCCTTCTCCACCTCATATGTTCTCAACCTCCAGGGACTCTAATCAGATTCCTCCACTTATTTGCAATTGCTACCCTGTAAAAAATAGTGCTAGATCCCCCCTCTTCCAACCACAAAGCCTTCGATTTTTGTCTCCAACTAGTCTCTTGAGCCAAATATAAAGAAGCTAGCTCCCCTAATAAAACTTCTTTCTTCTCCTTCTCCCTCCCTTCCTACCTCTCTTCTTTCTAACTCCCCCACCTCAATATTTCCCTCATTTTCACCTTTACCCTCCTAGATACCTCTTTACTCCACACCCTATGTCTTTTTTGAGCAATTTCAGCTTCTTTGCAAGCCTGAAAGAATGCCCTCCTTCCACGTCATAACTACTCCACCAATCAACCACTTTATCACCAAAGCCATCCACACGTAACCATATATTCTCGAATCTGAAAGGAGTTGAGTTCTCGTATGTCTTCCTCTACTACCATCCAACATTACAGGGGAATGATCCATCAGTAGTCGAGGAAGAGAAGCTTGGATCACGTTAGGTACAAACTCCTCCCAAGAAACAGACACCAAGAATCTGTCTAGTCTCGATCAAGATGAAGAGTCCTCCGATCTTGACCAAATGAAAGAAGCACTTATCAAAGTCAAATCAATAAACAAGTGGCTATCAATTAACTCTTTAACGATTCCTCCATGAGCATGGCCACCACCCTAAACCCAATCCCTTCCTTTGGGAATAGTATTAAAATTCCTCCTAGCACCCAAGGTATGTCCCACCTCTACATTCCATCTCCTAACTCTGCCCAGAAGGTCTCCTTTGCCCCCTCGCCACTCCATTCCATTGCTAATGTTTCTTAATCACACCCCTAACATGAACTCCCGCTTGTAACCTCCATACTCTCTACTTTTCCATCATCCCAAGGGTTAGAATTCCTCCCACACTACCCTGAACCGGAATATAATCGTACTTCACCCACCTCCCCACATACTTCTGATATGCTACCCGACATGAACTCCATTTTTGTTTCTAGAGTACATATCACATCTTCCCCTCTTCCCTAAAACCTACTTTAATGATGGCTCTCTTCTTGGGGATTTTTGTTTCTTTGCCAAACAAACAAGTTCTGCAAACCCAGATTTTAAGTCTCCTAATCTGTGTTCTCCTATCATTTCTTTACTTCTAATTTGATATT